CCATTCATCAGTTACTGAGATGTTTAATGTGTGTCAGATCCAGTGCTAGATCATTGTATACATGTTTAGGGGGGCTCACTGTGTGAGCATGGGCAAGGTACTTTACCTCTCTGAGCCTCAGTTTTTCTAGCTATCAAATGAGGGTAATAACACTTGCATTGCAGCGTTGTCATAATTAAAGGAGTTCATGGAGGAAACACTTTTCTCAGAGCCCAGCACACAGCAGGCATCTAATAAACTGCAGCTAGTATCCTTATGTTGAAGAGGATGAGATTTCTGCCCATAAGGATCTAAAAAAATCTAAGGACATGGGTTATGTTCCAGGTGCCCAGGTGGAAATCCTGGCTCCACTGCTCACTGAGTAAACTTGGACCAGTCCCTTCATCTCTGAGAGCCTCAATTTTCCCATCTAACAACTGGCAGCAACTCTCACCTTCACTGGCCTTGTTTCGAGAAGGAGCAGACAAACCAGCAAGTGCCCAGCACACAGTACATGTTCCTCTGTACACCTAAGCTCCTTTCCTGTCCCCTCACTGTCCCGACACCCACAAGGACTGTGGAGAGCTGGGACAGGGATGTGGCTGCTCCCCTGCTGCAGAGTGAGTGGCCCTGGCAGAGACACTAGCAGGCAGTTTGGTCTTGGGTGAAGGGCAGTTTTTTTCTTTTTGTTGGGGACAAGGAGTGACTTGTGCTCTTCAGGAAAATGTCCAGCCTCAGAGTCACTCACATCCTGAGGATGGTCCCATACACCTTGCACTAACAGGAGTCAATGACTCAAGGTTTGCAATTGGCCACATCACTTGCAAAGATTCAATTTGGCAATTTAATTTTGTCTCTGCAACATTGCACTTCCTGTCCACTTCACTCTACAGCACTTTCCTTGGGGTCTAAAGGCTCAGGGTGCCATCTGGAACCCTGAGAATCACATGTTCTCCCAGACAAGTCCATCTCCTTGGCAGCCCAGTGAGCCTGTCACTGAAACATCCTCAATACCCAGGTCAAGAACTCCAGACCCCAATTTTTTCTTTTTTTCAAAGACTAATTTGGACAGATTGAAAACTATAAAATCAAGAGATTTCACATGGAAAAGCTGAAATTCAGACTTTTCTGGAAAAAGCCAGGATGTCTGCCAGTGCTGGGCCTGCCTCCTCACAGGGCAGTAAGTGGCTGCAGTTACATAATTGGAGCATGTGCTCTCCAGTTTGCCTCAGACCCTCCCACTCCCTAGTACTGCCCCTGAAACTGAGGGCAAAGGTCAGCTGCTGTCTATCACCATGCTTGGATTCCAGCTCTCACCCACTTCACTCAGAGTAGGAAGGAATCTAATGAAGGGGTTCTTTTTAATTTTTATTTTAAAAGAAGGAATCTTTGTGTTGCCCAGGCTGGCTTCAAACTGCGGGGCTTAAGCTATTCTCCTACCTCAGCCTCCTGAGCAGCTACAGATATCACTCCAGGTATGTGCTACTGTAGAGGGGAGGAGGGGCTTTCAATCTTGGGTATGCACCAGAGTCACTTGGAGGGCTTGTATAGCAGGTTGCTGGGCCTTGCTGCTGAATTGCAGATTCAGTGGGTCTGGGTGGGCCTGGGAGTCTGCATTGCTAATGGGTCCGCAGGAGCTGCTCCTGCTCCTGCTGCATTGGTGTCTATGATTCCAGAACTCCTGTGACAATCAGGGCAGAGCTGTTTGAGGGCCACATTTTGGGGGTTGGGTTTTTTCATAATTGGGGTGTGCCCAGTGAAGTATGTCTGCCTGAGAATATCGCTGGTCATGGTGACATGAGGATTTCACACAGCTGGCCTCAGTACCTCAGCAGTGAGAAAGACGTGGAGGACAGAAAGAGACCACTGTGCCCTTCCCCATGGCAGTGAGCCTGAGTTGGGCTAGGCCCTGCTGTGGTCCCTGCTCTGTCCCCAGGAGGGAGCCAGAACCATACTACAGGGTCCCACATAGAGCTCTGTGCAGCAAATCCTTCAATCCCCTCCTGGTGGTGGTATGGACACATGTCACTCATAACCAGGGTAAGAAAACAACATCTGGACACCTTTTGGCCACTCAGACTGTCACGTCTAGGAGACAGTCACCACCACTTGGGGCTGGCAAGAGCAGCCCTGCACATTCCTACCTAGGGTCAGTGAGCTGTGGGCCTGAGGACAGTTGGGAGGCTCCCAGGAGTGCACCGTCTGAGGCTTACAGACAGCTATCTCCTTCTCTGTACTTGGGTGGGGTCTTAGGAAGCCACGTGTTGAGCAGAACTTGAAGGTGTGACCTCACAGCCACGCAACCTCCTGTCAGTGTCTCCTGGGTGCCCCTTCATCTTCTCCACATAGCATAGGTCCCCTTGGGGCTTGGATGAGCCCCTCTCTGGGCTGTGCTACAGCCACTGCCTTCTCTTATGTCCACTTGACCTTAAGTGAGGCAGGAATCTGGCCACATGGGCTGTACATCCTGCCTGGACACACCTGGGGCAGATCAGTAAAGCTGTCTCCCAGGGGGGCATGAAGTGGCTGTAAGATTGGACCAACAGCTCCTTACAAGAGGTGATAGCTCCTCCTATTTTTATTAAGCAGCCTTGGGTTATCTTAATTGGAGGTGGGGGTTAATCTGAAGATGAGCATTGGCCTTGAGATCTCTAGGCTCTGTGGCCCTTTGTGAGACTTTAAAGGCTTTTGCTTTGGCCAGATATGGTGGTGCAGGTCTGTAATCCCAGCTGCTCAGGATGTAGTGACATGAAAATCAAAAGTCTGAGGACAGCCTTGTCCTCTTAGTGACATGATAACTTAAGATAAAATGTAAAAAGTGTTGTGAACATAACTCAATGTTCTTTGGATTCTATCCTCAGTATAATAAACAAGGGAACAAAGAAACAAACAATAAGAAAATCCTTCTGCTTCTTTTGAACAAAACGATGGCAGCAGGTGGGAGCCTGGCAGAGCACCTCCAGCCAATCAGGATGCTCAGTGTCCCAAGGGAGGGAAGGTGATGTCACTGGTCAAAACCTAAAAGGCCCTGTGAGCCCTGGGAAGGACATGAGCACTGGGATCCCAGGGAAGGTGAGAGGACTGTTGATGGGGAAATGACAGCCCATGATCCCCAAGACTAAGCTGACCGAGGTTCAGAGGTTCCAGGTCTGCTCCATGAATGTCCTGTCTCACTGAGGTAAGTAGAGCTCAGCACCAAGAATTAGCACCCAGTTCCTGTTTCTGCGTAGCCCCACACATTGACCATTGGCAGAGCATCTTGTCACTCTGATGCCTCAGTTTCCCCATCTGAAAAACAAAGACTTGGTCTTGGTTCAGACTTTGGAGCTTCTTCTCAGTCATGAGAACTTTTCTCCGAGTTGAAAGGTAATTAGGGGCAGGAGCTCAATTCCTGAGGCACTGAAGAGCTGAGAAGCTATGGCTGAGGCCGGGACAGGGTGAGGATGAGGGCTCATGCCTGTTCACTTTGGCCCTTTCTCCCCATAGGGCCTGGGCACCCTCCAAAGTGCCCCAGTCTTGAATGTAGGAGGAAGGAAGTGCAGGATCTGAAGCGGTCAGGAGCACTGCCTCTGGTGTTGGCGACCTGGGTTCAGATCCAACCTAACCTCTCTGAGCTGCTGTTTTCCTTATTGCAAACTGGGATTGATAATGTTCTCAGACACTGTGAATGTTCAGAGCACTGTTGTGTGTGACCAGCCTGAAATCAGTCAGGCAGGTGGCAGGTGCCCTGCAATGGGACAGCTGTGAGTATCCGTGGAGCACACACATGGGCCACACTGTCACAGCAACCCTGGAGGGGGTCATATTAACTCTTACCTACAAGGAAGCTGAGGCACAGGGACAGTAAGGAAGGACCCCAGGCTTACACAGCTCCACGTGGCAGGTGGGGCACAAAGCCAGGCAGTTTCAGCAACTGGTACTTATTAGTATTATTAATATTTTACTAAACACCTTCATCACTTCATAAAATGAAAGGAAGTTTTGGAAGAGGATGGGTTCCCAGCACTGAGTTAAACTGGCCCCAACCTGTGAGCACCTGGAAGGGGCCAGCTACATGTCAGCTGGCCAGGGCAGCTCTCAGGGCCACCCCAGGCCCTCGAAGCCAGCACCCCTGGGGACACACGGGTTCCCAGGGATGACAGAAATTTAGGAATGCACATGGGCCTCCTGCTGTCCCAGGCACAGGGGGACCACCCCCAGGACTCTGTTGTGCTCCTCCTGTCTGCACAGTCTCTCTGCCTTCAAATCCTCAAGCCAGGGAGAGGATCCTAGATGTTGACTCCTCCAGTTGTGTGTGTCCCCCCAGGCACCTTCCGCCCTGCCTCCTGGACTTTAGTTTCTCCATCTGTCAAATAGATTTCTAAACTCAGTTTCTAAGGGCCTGGTGTTCATCTCTCCTATCCATCCATTTTCCTTCCCTTCCTCTCTGTAGTATTTCATGAATACCTGCTATGTGCCAGGCTCTTTCTAGACTCCGTGTACATAAGAGTGAAAACAAAAAACAAAAATCTCTCCTTTGCTTTTACTTGTTTTATTAAACAAATTAAAAGACAAATCATAACCCTGCAAGAACATTTTAGAAAGATATATGGAGGTGTAAACTTCCCCAAGATACCATCTTATGCACCACTGAACCTGTGGGACCCGCACAGTGCCTGCTTCATATTGGGTGTGTCCTGTGTGTCAAATGAATGAATGGACAGGGCTTATTTTCCTGCACCACAACTTAAGGCTAAGGTTTCAGAGTCCCAAACCATGTTCTACAGAGAGTGACCTAATGAAGCTAAAATCGGGGAGACTTTCCTAGTGGACTTACAGGGAGAGGATCAGCTCCTTTTGCTGCCCTCCATCCTCTCCTCTCTACCTCCCCAGCCCATGGGAGCCCTGGTCTGCAGCACAGTTAAGGAGGATTATTCAGCAGGGTCCTTGGCAGGATAGGGTACATTCCCAGCTCCCTCACCAGGGTCCTGAGTTTTTGGAGGGGACCTGAAGGGCAGAGGAAGGAACACAGTGTCCTCTCATTGAACAGTGCTAGTTATCTGCCCCAAGTCCATTGAACACGATGAGGAAATCTGTGAGAGTTGCGGAGGAAGATGCTCTGCTCTGTGCAGAGGGCAGGATGTCAGGCCCTACACAGTTTCACCTTCAAATGGCTGTCCCATCACTTATACATTTGCAATATACACACACGGAGACACAGAGAGAGAAACACACACACACCCCACACAGACACACACACACACTATACCATTCATTGTCACTTCTGTCCTTGGAGGACCACTCTCATAGCACAGTGAATAGTCACATACTTCACCCACAGAATCCGTGCTCTCCTCCAGTGACATTCTTTAAAAAGTCAAGTCAGTTGAGGACATTCACAGAGAACCAGGGCCACGTGTGACATCAGACTTGAATGTTTTATGCAATGGAAAACTAATTTCTTCTGAGGAAGGACTATTATCACCATTGACTGAGAACCTAGTGTCTTCGGGGCTGATCACATGCATAGTCTGCTTGGCCTTCAGGAACATGTATGATGCAGATGCTATTGCTGGTCTTAGCGTGCTGACAGTCAACACTGACTGGCCTCCACACTGCACTCACTAGCTGAGCAAGGGCCGGATCATCATGCGGGATGAACTGAGTGAATATGTGGGATCCTCAAAGGAATGGTGCCAGCGGATGCCATCAATCTTGTGCAAGTGATTTCCGGCTGGATAGTAGATGCCATTGAGATTGGAGGCACCGCAGCTGTCAAACCACCACCCTGTGGAAGAGAGGGACATCATAATCAGAGCTGTTGAGTCCTTGAGGAGCCACCTGAGTAGAGAAGAGGGTGAGGGGGGGGGGCAACTGACCCTCACCTCAGCCCAGGTCTCTAGGGGCAGTGAGGTTTCTGGCCATCCCTCCAGGTTCCTCTACACCTCTTTGCAGTCTCCAGACTCCTATTTCCTGTGTCCCTCCCTCACTTACCTACAAGCCTTCTGAATGGCTCCATGTCACTTCCTACTGGTATCTGGTGGCCTCTGTCTCTCTCTCCATGTAAGTCTTTCCCTCTTGGTGGAATCTGGATGTGTGTCATGTTGTTTGCCTCTCTCTAATGGAGGGCATCTTTCCTTGCCATCTGTGCACTCTCTCTCTCTCTCTCTCTCTCTCTCTTTCATTCCTCTGTTCCTAGGCACCAAGGCCTCATGCAGCCATGGCTGCACTTCTCTCCAGCTCTCCCTCTGCCTTCCCTGTCCCAGGGCAGCTCTGTCTCCACTGCTCTCATTTCTATCAGCTTCTGTCTCTCTCTGCCCCGATCTGTCCCTGTCTCTGTGGCTCAGGTCTCTCCTGTCTCTCTCCTTCCTGCTCTGTCTCTGACTCATCCCATCTCCCCCTCTCTGACCTCTGTCCCAGCCCAAGAGCACTGCCTGAGCCAGAGTTGGTGGGGAGCTGTCCCCTGGCCTTTCCTTGATGCCAGGGGTAGGAGAAGCAGTGGCCTGAAGAGGACTTTAGGGCCCAGCAGGAAAGATAGCTTTCACCCTAACTCACCTCCAGTCATTGCCTGTGCACAATTGCAGGTGCAAACATCATGGTCTGAATCATAGGTGCTGAAGTTGTTGTTCCCCAAGATCAGGTGGTTCTCATACATTGCTGCACCACTGTACTGGTCCAGAAAAATCCTGGAGGCCAAATAGAGGTTAAGACAGGGCACAGAGTCAGGTTGAGGAAGGGCCTCCCTTGGGGGCTTTGCCCAGGCTGGGTCTCACTGCTGTGGTTTTTGGAGGGGAGCCCCAGCCTGGGTGTGGTTCCTCGGACACTTTCGTCAGGATCATCCTCCCCTGCTGCCTCTCAGGAACAAAGCACCTGCTGTATGCTGAGCCCTACTCATCTCATTAACTGGGTCACAACTGCAAGGGAGTCACAGTAACCATAATGAAGACAACAGCTGAGAGTTTTTGAGCCTCTACCATAGGGCAGAGTTGACTCATTCTCATGTAAGTCTCATGACACTTTTCCCACAGAAGGAGATGGGATCATGAGAGTCCAAGAACCTGTCCAAGATCTCAGGACCAAGGAAGAACAGAGTCAGATTCTGGCCCAGTGTGGCCTGATTGGGGAACCACATGCATTTCCTCACTTGCTCACCATCCTGCACCCTGGCATTTGCCTCTTCCACTTTGAGCTTCCTCAGGCCTGAACCACAAATGTGCTTAAAGTGCACCTGAACAGTGTGTAAGTAGGAGTGTCTTGGTCCATGTTGTGGGATCCTCAGAGGTCAAGACTCCATTGTGGGTCCTATGGGGATGGGTAGACAGCACTGAGCCTCCCTGCCCAGGGAACCCCTTAATGGCCACAAGGAGAAGCCAGAACCATAATAGGCTCCGGGCAATTGTTCAATATTCCGTGGAGTCAGGTACTGAGAGCTCTTTGAGGCCTGGGTGTAGCAGCCTGGAGCTAGGGAGCTCTCCAAGGCTCAGACAAAGAGCCAGAGGGAACCCATGCAATTCACACATGAGAGCAGGACAGGAGCTTCCAAATTTAACATGCATACGGTTGAATGTTGGATGTACGTAATGTAGACTTATGCACTGAGGCAGAAATGTGATACTTATGTCTTTGAATATACGATATATATATCTCCAACTTTTTTTTAAATTAAATTCTTTTACTGGTACCTTGTAGGTATACAACACAATTACATTTCTCATTGGGAATTGTACCTTTACATGATGCATTTTATTTTTTCCCCATTCCTAGCCCTCCCTTCACCCCCTCCACCCTTCCCTAATTACAAAGACTTTATTTCCATTTTTTCCATTTCTCATCATTTTTCCTTTCCCTTCTTTCATTTCCCCTGCCCCTCCCACTACCACTACCCCTTTGGACCTTTTCTTCCAATTATGCATTATCAATTATTCATTCTAATCATTGGTACATTTTAGGTATACAATATAATGACATTCATGATTGGAAATTTGCACCTTTACATAATCTCT